CCATCCAACACAAAGACAGGCTCATAAATGCCCGTGATGCTGTGTCCTCGTCCACCTTATTCACCAGACCTGGCACCGTGTTTCTTCTGGCTCTTCCTCAAAGTCAAAATGACCATGGAAGGGAAAGGTTTTAAATTGACTCAGGACTTTTAAATGTGACTCAGCCACAACACTGCAACTAAAGACACAAAAGAGGACTTCCGGAAAGTGCAAGAATGGGGAGACGTGTGTTTCAAGTGAGAGGGAAGACTTTGAGCGGGATTCTCGGTAAGGTGTCCTTTACCGTAATACACTTTTAACATTCACTGCATATTTTGATGTCACCACATACACACAATTCAGGGGCTGCCTAGCAATCTGGTTACCTTCCCCTTGGACCACAGGCATCTGGAGAGAGCAGTCTATTCCAGTGCACCTGGAGGTTTACGATGTGTCTCAGGGACTTATAAGACTCACGCTTTATGGACATTTCCATTCTGTTATACATTCTTTTGTCTTCTCACAGACCCTGTGTTCCTTCTCTCACTTTCCCTGCCTTCGCTGGAACACTGACTCAGAGCTATCATCAACTGGGTCCTGAATTGCAATCCCTAGGACGCTGAAATAAAGCCTTTCTCAGTTTGAACCAATGGATGTTACATGGCACTGGAAGTGGGCTCTGAAGTCTCTGCCACTGGTGCTGCCCTGCACAGGTGCAAAGGCACCTACACAGGCAGCCCCTGTGTCTCCCGGTGGTTTCAGACCGCAGGGTGAGTCCTCTGGGTTTCTGAAATGTCTCATCTCTTTGGTCAAGGGTGTGAACCTGTCCTTTGTTGCCGGCTGCCAGAGAGGGAAGGCCCTAAATCTAGGTGTCTAGATGGGGCAGACTCTTCTGGGAAAGGCAACCTTTCATAAATGTAAAATAGGGCCAGGGATGTAACTCAGGGGTGCCACACCTGCCTGACAAGCACCAGGTCCTGAGTTTGATCCCCAGTACCAAAACAAACAAATAAACAAATAAAACAAAACAAAGACCCCCAAAATGTAAAATAGACACAGAAGTTTTCAAGTGACATCAATGTTGTGAATCACCATAAAGCTAAACTTAAGTAACCAACACCCACATCCAGAACTAGAACATCCTCAAGCTTAAGCTTGTCCCCTTTGATGCCCCCCGAAAGCATCCACATCCTGGTTGTTATGGTAACAGTATGATAATCACTTCCTGGCTTTCACACTTTTACCATCAAACACACATGCTCATTATAAAATAGTTCTTACCTGTATTTTTTTCAACACTAGGCATTGAACCCAGGGCCTTGCACTTACTAGGCAAGCACTCTAACACTGAGCTACAGCCTCCACCCTTATTATTTTGCATTTTGGGACAAGGTCCTCTAGATTGCCCACACTGGCTACTTGCAACCTTACAGGCTCACTTCCCAAGTAGCGAGGACTACAGGCATGTGGCACCAAGCTCAGCTCTTGCCTGGTTTTGAATTTCACATATAAATGGGACCATACAGACACTTAGGTCTTGTTTTCTTCACTGGGCACATATTGGAGACTCATCCACATTTTTGCATTTAGTGTACTTCATTCACTTTTTTTTTTTGAGATGGTGTCTCACTATGTAGTCCAGGGTGGCCTTGAACCCATGGTGATCCTCCTGCCTCAGTCTCCCCAGTGCTGGGATGACAGGTCTGTGCCACCATGTCAGGCTCTTCATTCACTTTTGTTATCAGAAACTCTTGTATGATGATATCCCATTTACCTCTGTTCCACCTTGGTGCACAGTGGGGTTGTCCCAAACAATGAAGCTAAGAACTCCATGTGCTGCACCTGGTATGCATATTACCTCGGCCACAGCAGGTGACAGGGCCTCCCCTCTCCAGATGATGTCCCCATTGACATCCCGAACACTTCCACTCAGCTGCCCAGTGAACAGCTCACTGTCATCTGTTTACTGCTGAGGCTGCACACTCTTTCCTTAGTGTACTGACCACTTGCTCTTCTTCTTCTTCTTTTCTTAAAGCACCTGTTCAAGTCCTTTGCCTTGAAAATTTATTTTTATTTTTTTCCAACTTGGAAGCGTCTGCCTTGTAGACCTGCAGGAGTTCTTTCCGTGTTCTGGACCATTTGTTGGCTGCAAGCAAAAGATCTTTTCCCATTCCTTGCTTTCCTTCTCACACTGACTGGCATCTTCGGAAAGAAAAGCTCTTGACTTTAAAGTACCTGACTGTATCAATCTTTTCCTTTAAGATTAGTTCTTCTTATGCTTTTTTTTTTTTTGGTACCGGGGATCGAACTCAGGACCTTGTGCTTGCGAGGCAGGTGCAGCGCCACTGAGCTAAATCCCCAGCCTTCATGGCTTTTTAAAAACCCTTCCTTATCTCAAGAACTTTAGAATACTTTTTTTCCTTTTATTGGTACGTTTTAGGTGTACAGTATAATGACATTCATCGTTAGAAATTTGCACCTTTACATAGTCTCTCTTGGTTCTTATTTTTCCCCCTTCCCCGGCCCTCCCTTCAACCCCTCCATTCCTTCCTATTTACAAAGACTTTGTTTCCTATTTTTCCATTTTCTCATATTAATTCCATTTCCTTCTTTCCTTTTCCCTACCCCTACCCCTCCCACTTCCCCTTCCCCTGTGCCCCTTTTCTTCCTATTTCACATTATCTCTTATACCTTTTAGTCCTTATTTACATTTTCAGTTTCTCACACCAGAGAAACTATTCAGTATCTACACGTGTGTCCTGTTTATTTCACTTAAGAGAACCACCTCAGTGTGCATCCATTTAGCTATAAATTCTCTAATTTCTCATTTTTGATGGCTGAGTGGTATAGAATACTTTTTTATTATCTCTTCAAAGGCTTGCTTCATCTGCCATGTTTGGATCTGAGAGTGGCCCTGTGTCTAGGTTTATGCCTCTTCTTAGCATCTGTCTCATCCAGTTGACATCTTTCACTCTCAAAAGCATCTGTAAAATTCCCTTAAGCTTTTCTCCTTGGGAAAAAAAGCAGTGCTTCTTACTAATCTTTTCTTTTCTCCCTCCCTCCCTCTCTCTCTCTTCTTTCTTTCTCTCTTTCTTCTTTCTTCCAGTACTGGATATTGAACCCCTGGCCTTGCACTAAACTACATCTCGAGACTTTTTTTAAACTTTTGAGCCAGGGTCTTTCTAAATTACCCAAGTAGGCCTCAAACTTGTGATCCTCCTGCCTTGGCCTGCCAGGTAGCTAGGATTACAGGCCTGCATCACCGCCAATCATAATTCGGGCCATTGTAGATGGCTGGCTTTTTTTTTTTTTTTAAGTAGTACATGTTTGCAGTACATAACATTTACATTCCTCAGTGTGGAGCTGGTACCTGTACAAAACATGTCTTAATTCCTTTTTCATCCCCTTTCCCTCCTCTTTCTCTTTCAATCTCTTGATTCCATCTCCTTTGAGAAAATCTGTCTCCCTGCTTCTATTGTCTTTTATTTTGCTCTTTACCATACATTATTGAAGCTTGTGTGTCTGATTTACTTCCCTTAACATTATAGTCTCAAGGTGCATTCATTTTCCTACAAACTACTCAAGTTTACTTAGTACTCCATGCGGTGTAAATGCCACATTCTCTTTACCCACTCATGTAGATGACCGGCCTTTGAAGCTCTCACCTGGAGGCCGGGATACCAGTCCTCACTTCCCTGCCTGTGAGACTCCACAAAACAGACCAGGAAGTGTGTCCTCAGGCCCTGTGGAAGGCAGGTCCTGCCTGCAGCCACAGTTGGCAGGGTTCCATTTCTTTGCTGGAGAGCTCATAAGGTGTGGAATGGAGTAAGTCAATGACACTAAAAAAACTGAGGCAGGAGATTAGGGTATGGCCAGCTGCCTGGGCAAGTTGTCAATCATAGAGACCCAGGATGCATGTATCCAAGCCCTGCACCTGGAACCAATCAGAAATGCTGTCTTCAATCTTCTGGCAAGATATCAAGCAGGTGCTTGATAGGATGGTCTAGATCTGACATCAGCCTGAGGGATGAAATACTAAAGACAGCAGCCATTAACCTCCGTACCACAGTGTTCTCTCTCTTCAGTGGCTCGCTCTCATCCGACAGAGTGAACTTCCTTTCCTACCTTTAATAAATGTAAAACCTCTCTATCTTTTGCACTTGGTCTACTGCTCAGCTCAGGACAAGAACCTGGAAGGAACCCTACAGCACCCCAGAAGCCCAGTAACAAAACTGATTGGTTATGATTGCGGAACATAATGAAAGAAATTTTAAGTTCAATCATTGGTTTGACAAATTATATTTCTAGAAACAAAATACAGCAAAACCTTGGATGACAATTAATTTGTTCTGCAGGTGTTCCACAAGATAAGGAAACATTTCTTATAAATTTTAGCTTGAAAAACGGGCAATGTCTTGCAATGCAAGTAATATGTGAGGGTGAATGGTATGATCGCAATTGAGCTTATGACTCTCTTGCTGCAGGATTGTGGGTGATCACCTCTCAACAGCAAGAGGTTATACAGAAAATCTTATCTGCAGAGGAGGAGAAAAGGCAGAGGACTCCCTCCCTTCAAATGAGATTAGGGAGATGTGTAGAATGTGGAAAACAGTGCAAAATTTTGTAGAAAAACACCACCTGAATAAGACTGTAGCAGTGCGAGCGATGAATCTGTTTAATGACAATGCAATGTCATAATGTCACAAAATCCTCAAAAGGAGGTAAAACCAAGTGTCACTGGCTAGGTTCCTTGTTAAAACTGCACAAAAAGAAAAAGATTCCACTGAGCCAACAGACAGCAGTGATTCCATTACTGAGAGTGAAAGTTGTTCTACACAATAACTTCGTCTCTCATCTCCCTTACACCAGCCACCAAGGTTTTCAAAGGAAAGTGCAGGTTAATTTATTTTTATTTTTGGGTATTTCTAGTATTTGTGATTATATTACAATTATAATCACTTTTATATGAATATTTTTGGGTTGTAGGACAAATCACATTTCCTTTATTTTTTAGGCAGAAATTCACTTTGATATACAAGTGCTTTGGATTACAAGCATATTTCCCGAATAAATTATGCTTGCAAACCAAGGTTTTATGGCACAGAGATATAGAAGCCAGGTGTGGAAGTGCATACATGTAATCTCATCACTCTAGGAGGTTGAGGCAAGATGATCACAAGTTCAAACCCAGCCTTGGTTAATGAGACCCTGACTCAAAACAAAAAAGGGCGAGGAAATGTAGAGTTCAGTGGGAAGGCTCTGGGTTGAATCCCCAAAACATATATACTGCCAAAACCAAAATATACACACACAGTTTTTTAAAATCAGGATATATTTGCAATACATAATTATCACATTCATCTGGGGGAATTGATACATGTACGTATTGTATCTTAATCATTTTTTCCCAGTGCTAGGGCTCAAATCCAGGGCCTCCTCACCCATGCTAGGCAAGCACCAAGCAAAACACAGATCATACTTTGGTTGTGAACACACTGCAATTTTGCCATCATGAGAAGTTCCTCAAACTGCTACCAAGTACTCGTCATGTGGTGTAGACCAGATCAGAGAAATGCAAGGCCAGTGCCAGCCTCCTAGTAAACACAGACAGCCATGTGCCTCCCGGCACATTAACACCTTCACTTAAGGATCTGAAGGCAAGTTCCATTTTGCTTCCTAGAGGGTGATTTCTGATAAAGAAATAAACCAGGCTTTCCTTCCTCCACTCCTGACCCTTGTACTTCACTGCTGACTTTATCAGTGATCCTGTTCTTTGCCAGTGTGATGAAGCAACAGCACTGATGAGCTTAACATGCAGGAAGCATCTGCAAATGTTTGTCAATTGAACGCTTGATTTGCCATGTTCCCATGACTTTCCATAATCAGGCAGGGCCTGAGTTTTTTCAGGCATGATTGATTATCCTCGACTTCCAGTTTGACCCATGGTTTTCATTTAGGTCTTAGAGGTTTTGTGGTTTCAATCTTTGGTATTATTTTTGTTTTAGAGGTAAAACATTACATCTTCACTGCAGAACATTGTTGACTACATTTAGATGCCTTTTTTTTTTTTTGGTACCAGAGATTGAACTCAGGTCCTTGTGCTTACAAGGCAAGCGGCAGAACCACTGAGCCAAATCCCTGGCCCCTGTTGACTACATTTAGATATAAGAATTTGGACTTGCATGTAAACTTCAAGCTTTTCTTTTTGTACTGGGCATTGAACTTGGGTCCGTGTGCTTGTGAGGCAGGCACTGAGCTAAAATCCCCGGCCCCTAGCTTTTCTTTTTTTTTGAGACAGGGTCGCATTATGTAGTTCAGGCTGGCCTCGACTCACTAGGTAGCCCAGGTTGGCCTGGAACCTTCAAACTCTTGGTAATCTTCCTGACTCGGGCTCCTGAGTGCTGTGATTACAGGCAGTTGCCAAAGCATACACTTTTCATGGTACTATTTCTGTGAACTTTCCTCTGCCAGGGGTGGGGGAACACTACATATTTATCTGCTTCACTTACCATGTTAATTGTCACAAGAAAAAAGAAAATGCTGAGCTTGACTTAATTAGCAGAGTCCAAAGGCAAAGTCCAAAAGGGTACAGCCAGGGTCTCCCAGGGAGCTGGCGCACCTGGTCCGTGTGGGGAGGAGGGGTACAGGAAGCCAAGGAAGAGGGCTGCCCAGGGCCCACCTTGGGAGGATCATGTGACTCACTGGCTGGACAAAGGCGGAAGGACCACGAGCAAAATGTAAGTGAAAATGGTATACAAGCAACTGCCCATGATTCATTTACTCCACAGTGGAAGGAAGTCTCTAACCATGGTTAAGCCAGTGTGCTGTCGACCACCAAGATTAAAGAGGCTGCTCCACTGGGATTGGTGTTACTGGCTTCTAGAGTCAGAAGAGATCCTTCCCAGGTACTTGGTGTCCTGAACAAAGCCTTGGACACAGAAAAGATAGTGAAGATTGACATTTAGAGAAGGTAGGAGAGAAGTAAACTGCACGGTGAGAGCAGAGTGAAAAGGTTCACAGTGGCCCTGAGGAGTAACGGCCCGGCTTCTCTGCATCTCTAGACTGGTTCTCCCTCTGCAGACAAGGCATTCGGGATGGTGGTCCTATCACTCCGCCTCACGTCAGAGTTAAGTTACCCTGGCAAAGGCTCACTCGCTTTCAGAACAGATGTGAACGAAGAATCAAAATGGCACTGTTCGATTGGTCCCACGGGGTTCAGGCTGCGCTGTTGTCCCGGAGCCTGTGTTCTGCACATGCTCCCCGTGTCTCCAGGCCAGCCAAGCTTTTCCTAGTGGTTACCTGGTTTGTCCTGCCTTGATCTCCTACCTACATGGCTAGGGCGCCATATGCATTGCCAGAAGTGGACAGTGGGAAACAGACAGGACAGGCCACTTCTACTAATCTTTTTGCTGAGGATCTTCCAACATTTTTAACACACGAGGGACGGGTTATCTGGGGATAGGAAGAGTATTCATTCTTTTCATATAAATTATAGGCAAGTCCATTATTAAACCCTGGAGATTCCAATATGAATTTAAACGTCAGTTTTTCCAGGAGTGGTCAGGGAGACAGGCAGGAAAAACAATTATGATACATCCTATGAGGGATCAGAGTGGAGAATGTACAAAATATGAGAGCATTAAAATGCAGACCTAGGGCCGGGGATTTAGCTCAGTGGTTTCACTGCCTGCTGCGCAAGCGCAAGGACCTAAATTCGATCCCCGGTACCAAAAAAAAAAAAAAAATGGAGACCTAAACTTGGCTTGGTGGCATATGCTTGTAATCCCAGCGCTGAGGGAGGCTGAGGCAGGAGGATAACAAGTTCGAGTCCCACATGGGTAACTCATTGAATTAGCGGAACCCTGTCTCAAAATAAGAAATAAAAAAGGCTGGGATGTAGCTCAGTGCTAATGCCCTGAGGTTCAGTAGGCAGTACTGCAACCATCACCACTTCAGGCCTACTTTTCCCTCAGGTGCAGTAAGAGCTGAAGTTTGACCTGAGACTTGAAGGCTGGATGTGAGAAGTGATAGCACTAACTCACACACAAGGGCCAGGCTCAGAGCCTGAGTGACCCGAAGTGAGGTCTGAAAGCACTGTGTCCGGCAGAGAAGTAATAAGGTCAGCAAAGAGGAGAAACAGAAAATGAAGGAGGTTAACATAACAAAGCAGAAGTAGGAATGAGGATTAGCCTTGTGGTGAGGGCAAGAATCGACAGAACTTCTGCCTGTGTGGGGAATGAGCTCTGCAAAGGCTGGGGTTCAGGGGGTGTGGTATCAAACTGTCATACCATAGCAACACTGCAAGGGGCCACAGAGAGCTCCTACTCAATGCCCTAATTAATGCCTTTTTTTTTTTTTTGAGACAGGCTCTAGCTAAGCCTCTAAACTGCTCTGGCTCAGCCTCTCAGGGTGCTGAGATCACAGACATGTAGCACCATGCCCAGCTTCAATGCCTTTTCTCATGAGGAAACTGAGGCCGAAGAAGAGAAACGGCTACAAGTGTCACAGACCACAGAGCCCAGGTCTCCCTGTCCACCCTGTTTCCAAGTAGCCTTCCTTCTGCTGACGGTACCTGAGTCTTCCTCCAAGGAACCACTTGTTATGGTTTCGATCTAGATGTCCCCAGAAAGCCTCAGGTGCTCAAAGGCGGAGCTTTTGGAAGGTGACTGGATTATGAGGACACCATAGCTGACCTGCTCGAGGAGGGGAGTGTGGTGGGAAGAGGAGGTCGTGGGGACATGGCCTGGGTTTATCTCCCTCCATGGCTCCTCCCTTCTCTCTGCTTCCTGGCTGCTAAAACGTTAAGCAGCTCTCTTCTGCTCTTCCACCAAGCTGTTTCCTGTTTGGAGGCTGCCAACTGTGGACTGAGACATCTAAACTGTGAGCCAAAATAAACTTGTCCTCCATTAAGTTGTGACTGTCAGGTATTGTGTCTCAGCATCAAGGAAAGTGACTAAAACACAATCACCTTTGGTTCTCTGCACCCTCCTATTTCAGGTGGGTGCCAGATTCAGTCCACAGATGCCAGTCCCTCAGGGTGGTTAAGAGTCAAGGTTATATTCAGGAATCCACAAAGCCACCAGGGTTAACATGAAACGTCTGCTTTATTTTGTTTTTTCTGGTACTGGGGATCAAACTCAGAACCTTGCACTTGCAAGGCAGGTGCCAGAACCACTGAGCCAAATCCCCGGCCTTGTTTTGGTTTTTGAAGCAGAGTCTCACTACGTAGTTCAGACTGGCCTTGAACTCACTGTGTAGTCCAGGCTGACCTTGAACTCACAGGAATCCTTCTGCCTCAGCCTCCTGCGTGATGGGATTACACGCTTGGCCAACTTCTGCTTTTTTTTTTTCCCACTGGAGTCAGCCTGAGTGCAGTGCCCAGTCCTGACAGGGAAAAAAACCTATCCACATCCTCAGAAAAGAGGAAAAGCTAAGAGGAAACAGGAGGCTGTGTTGGGCAGCTTTCTGGTACTGTAACCCAAACCTGAAATAATCAACTTATAAAGAGAAAAGGTTTACTTGGCCCACAAATTAGGAGGTTTCAGTCCATGACTGGTTGTCTCTGTTACGCTATTCTGGGTTTTTCTGAGACAAGTCCTATGTAGTTCAAGTTGGCCTTGAATTTACTATGTAGCCCAAGCTGTCCCCAAACTAGCAGTGATCTTCCTGACTCAGCCTCTTGAGTACTGGGCTAACAGGAGTGCAATGCCATACTCGGCTCGCCCTGGTTGCTTTCGAACCTGTGGCGAGACTGTAGGTCCTGGCAGGGCAGCACGGCAAAGCAAGACCGTTGACTTCAAGGCTAGAAAGTGAAGAGGACGAGGATGGTCCCACGATGCCCACTGAGAGCTCATCCTCAAAGGCCTGAAGCTCACCCCTAGACCCCACCCACTTCCCAGAGAACCAAGCTGAGAACCTTTCAGGGACGTGCCAGATACAAACTCCAGCCAGAGGGAGACAAGCTCGGGTGCCAGTTTTAGCCGTGTCAGCTGTGCCTGGCCTTCCACCAGACATTGCCCAGCACCCATTGTCCATCCTAACGTGGCCGCCTGGGAGAAGGCAGGTGGAAAGGGCTTACACTTGTGCCCACACCCATGCCTGACACCAGAGAGCACACGAATATTTCTAGTATGGTCAGAACAGGTTGAGCTGTGTTGTCATTGGCAACACAAAGAGGTTAAGCAACACAGCGACTATTCTTGAGATCATGCCCCATGCTACAGTCAGCAAATCACAGATGTTTCCAGGATTTCTCCCATGAGGATTTTTTTTTTTTTTTTTTTTTTTTGCGGTACTTGACATTGACCCAGGCCTTCCCACTGAGCTATATCCCCACCCTATTTTAACTTTTTTTAAATTTTGAGACAGGGTCTCACTGAGACGCTAGATTGCCCAGGCTGGGCTTGAACTTGCGATCCTTCTGCATCACCCTCCAAGTGTGCTGATATTAAGAGACGAGAGCCACCACGCCCAACTAAGAGTGAAATTTTAAATTTGTGTACTCTCGGGCTACCTTTCAACCCGACCGGATCCAGATACGCCTGTTTACTTTCCAGCTCCCAGTGAGTTGCCTCAGGTGCTTAATGCAGCCCGCGCTTCCGGACAGCCCTACCTGCTACTTCTCCTCGCCTACGGGGCCGCGCCGCACCACCTCCACGCCGGGTCCTGGGGTCGGGGAGGGGTCGGTGAGGGTTCGGCGCCGAGTTTCCCGGCCGAAAAGCGCGAGGAGCTACCTCCACCCGACCTCGGGAGCCACACCTGGCGCGACCCCGGAAGTGGGCGGGCGCGCGAGCCTGAGCCCCCTCAAGCCGGCTTGACAGCAACCAACCGCGTGCCCCAGGTCGTTACGTCACGACAGCACTGGCCAATGGGCACGGGTCTGCGCGCCACTTCCGGCCCGCCCCCGCCGGCAGCTGGAGAGGCCCGACCCGCTAACCCAGCAGAGGAGGAGCCTCTAGCTCAACCCGGGTTAAACCGCGCGCCGGCCCAGGTGAGTGCGTCGTGCTGCCCTCTCCGCAGCGGCCACAGAAACGTGGCGGCTGGCGCTCTTGCTCCCCTAGGAAGTTTCGGGCAGCGGGGTGAGCAGCCCTTCCACTGGCTGCGTTTGCCCGGACCCTGGGGAAGGAAGGAGGCAGGGGCTCTACGTGCGCTCTGTCCCGCACACCTGGCGGGCGCCGCCCCCGCCCCCCTCACCCCCGCGGGACGCCGACCCGCTCTGAGGACGCCCCCGCTCCTTGGACTGGAGTGATTGGAGAAGCCGATCGCTGCACCCTGGCGGCTTTAGAGAACGGAGTTACATGGGCTCTTCTTCCTGGGCAGCCGTGGAAGCAAATCTGCTTGCGCTGGGGTTAGCGCAGGCAGATGGTCGGGGCCTTGCGTTCCCACCTATGCCGCTGGTGGCCGGGCAGGGGCCCACCTGTCGCCCAGTGCGGGATCTGGGTTGCAAGCCAGGCCTACTCAGGGCACCTCCTGCCTGGTGAGGCTAGACAGACCCTATGCTTCAGGAAGGATTCGACTGTCAGCCAAGTCCTGTTGTTTTCCCCACGCCTTTGGACCCTGATGTAGCTTTCAAGCAGTCCCGCACCTAGCAGCCAGCAGTTCGCCTTAGTAGCCTTTTTATCGCACATCTGTCTACCAGTCGCGCCTTACTTTTCAAATAGTCTGTGGTTTCCCTTTCCTGGAGCAGTATTTCTGTCAAGGTTCAGGGAGCTGACTGTGTTGGGTGTGGGTGGAGATGATTATCATTAAACATTGGTTGAACATTGTCTGTGTACATAGCGCTGTTATGAGAAAACACGAGGCTCAGGACTCAGATGATCAGAAAGGCCCTCGAGTTTTTTTCTTACTGGTCCATGTTAGGTATACGGTACGTTTACACTCAGCATCGGGTGCTTCTACCTGCACATGATGCATCTTGGTTCTTATCTTTTCCCCATTCCCTGTGCGCCCTTCACCCCTCCTCCCTTCCCTATTTACATAGATTTCATTTCCATTTTTTTCTTTTCTCATAATTTTTCCTTTCCCTTCCTTCCTTTCCCCTTCCCCTCCCACCACCCCTACCCCTTTGGACCGTTTCCTATTTTAAATTATCAGTTATTCATTTTAATCATTTTCATCCTTATTTACACTTTCAGTTTCTCACACTAGAGAAACTTTGGTATTTACACATGTGTGTCCTATTTATTTCACTTAAGAGAATGGCCTCAATATGCATCCATTTAGCTATAAATGTCTCTAGTTTCTCGTTCTTTATGGCTGAGTAGTACTCCATTTTATTTTTAAAAAATCATCTTTATCCAGTTTCCAGTTGATGGGCACTTGGGCTGTTTCCAAGCACTTGATTTTTTTTTTAGACATAGGAAATAAGTGACAGTGTGCTAGCAAATGCCTAGTAATAAAATGACATCGGTACCACTCGTTCAGTTCTTGTTGAGTACTGGACAATGTTTATAAGTATTACCTCATTTAATTCTCACAAAGTAAGTAGGTCACTATTCCTTTCTGGCTTTTGAGGGGGTACTGGAAATTGAACCCAGGGCCTTTATACTGAGCTACATCCCCACATTCTCAGGACTTTTTACTTTTTATTTTGAGATAAGTCTTGCTAAATTGCCTATACTGGGCTTGAATTAATGATCCTCCTTCCTCAGCCTCCCAGAGTGCTGGGATTACAGGCATGCACTACCACACCTGGCCCTTTCTGATTTGTATACAAAAGGAAATTAAGTGCCAGATTCTGGCAGTGTGAGTCTGGGAAGCTCTGAGCGTTCTTAGTCACTGCGAAGGTGCCAGAAGGACTCTCAGGCCTGAGCAAGCAGGGCGGAAGGGGCAGGTGGGGGTCCCCAGGGTCCTGACTTAGGCACCTGAACATAGATCAAAGTTCCCAGGTAGCTTTGTGTCTGACAGGCATGTTGCTCCTGAGGGTTTGGAGGCCGGGAGTTCCAAGGGGGGTGGCTCTTCCCATTCTCCCTCCTGTTGTCTTCTCTACTCTCCTGTCAGGGAAGTTTCCCCAAACTTGGCTTCCGTTCTGCCTCCCGCCTTCCAGTTCCTTATTCCCCTCCATCACTTCCTTCTCAGCCTGCATTTTCAGACTCACTTTGTTCCAGAAGAGGCTTACTTTGCCTGTGTCATCCCAGATGTCCTTACAGTGCCTTCTGAAGCCCAGCAGCAAGCCCAGCCTCGAGGCACCTAAATATACCTTCTGGTAGCTTTGGAAACCAGATGGGTGTCTTGTCTGGGGCCTCTGACTGTCCGCTCTTGTGGCCTGAGGGCCTCCCTTGTTGGGTCTGGAAGCCGTCCTGTCTGGCCCAGCTTTTCCTTGTGACTCCCCTGAGCCGCCTCCATTTGCTCTGCGTCTGGCTGCCTTGTGTCTGGCCAAGTGGCCCCGCCATAGTGGGAAGCTTATTTCTACTGGCAGCCGGGTCTCCACGATTTTCCCCAGGAAGTGAAACAGTGTCAGCCCTGGGCACGGGGGGAAAGTCAGTGGCAGCTTGGCCACTGTCTAGAGCACAAAGAAAGAGGAAGAAGGAGTGGAGTGGGAAATGGCAGGAGAGACTCATGTGGGGAGTAAAGAGGGACCTTTGCGTCCTAGAGGTCCCAGGGTCACCTGGCTCCTGCAGGACCACACAAGACTCCAGCTGGGATGCCACGCCCATGTGGAAGGACTGTCACAGTGAGACCAGCATGGGGGACTGTGAGATTCAGATAATTCTGTAGGCTTTCATTTATTCTTTTGAAAAGAAAGATCTAAAGAAACTTTATAACAGAATAATGATCCTTAAATTTGAGGCGGTAAATACATAGATGTTTCATTTGCCCCTGTACTTTTTGGGGGGGGCGGTACCGGGGATCAAACTCGGGACCTTGCGCTTGCGAGGCAGGTGGCAGAACCACTGAGCTACATCCCCGGCCCCCCTGTACTTTTCTTATATGTTTGCAAAAATAAAAATTCCCCTGGGCCGGGGATGTAGCTCAGCAGCACGAACCTGCCTGGCAACCACAAGGTCCTGAGTTCGGACCCTGGTACTGAAAAAAAAAAGTCCCCATAAGAAGGAAGGAGCCAGGCGTGGTGGTAGGCATGTGCCATCCCATCCCAGGGAGGCTGAGGCAGGGGGATCCCAGTTTTAAGCCCAGCCTAGACAACTTAGTGACTTCAAGAGAACCTGTCTCAAAATGTAAAAAGGGACTGGGGATGTAGCTCAGTGTGAAGGCCCTGGGTTTAATCACAAATAACGCAAAAATAAATAAGGAGGAAGGAAAGCGAAAGAAGAAAACAGCTATCTACACTGGAAGCTGGGCTCTGCTTCTCATCTGGGGGTGACCACCTGCTTCTCTCTCTGGACTTTATTTTGCCACCTGTGGCATGAGAGTCACCAGTGCAAGTTCCCCAAGTGTCCCTCCCCCGGTGTCCCCAGGCTGGAGACCGGTCACCGACACTCCCTTGCTCTTGCCACCGTTTCCCTCCAGCCACTGGCGCCATGCCCGCATCTGTGCTGTGGGCGGTGGACCTCTTCGGCAGAGTCTACACCCTCTCCACCGCCGGCCAATACTGGCAGCTATGCAGGGACGCCCAGCTGGAGTTCAAGCGGCTCAGCGCAGCCACGCAGTGCTGCTGGGGCATCGCCGGCGACAATCAGGTCTACCTGTATGTGGGCGCCAGTGATGTCCCCATCCGGCGCCGAGAGGAGACCTATGAGAACCAGGTAGCAGCCCATGCGTGAGCAGGTGCTGAAGTGATCCGTGTCCTGGGACCGGGCTTCACAGGAGCTGAAGAAGAGGAGAGAGACCCCTGCGTCCGTTCCCTTCCACCCAGCAGAGCATTCAGTCTTCTCCAGAGCAGACAGGGAAGGGTCTGCCGGGATGGACTGTGGGCATCCAGGAGCTCATGGCCTGAGCCCTCTACTGCCTGCCCCCCTTGTAGCACTGTGGCCGTGGGTGGGTTCTCTATCCTTTGGGGCTGTGTGGATTCCCTGGATTTTATTTTTCTCTCTTTGCATTACTGGGCATTGAACCCAGGGCCTTTGCACTAAGCTCCCTCCCCAGCCCCCTTTGCTTTTCTGAGACAGGGTTTTACAGAATCGATAAGTCTCCTAGGCTTGGCTTGACTTTGTGATCCTCCTGCCTCAGCCTCCCTCCGAGTGCGGGGATCACAGGCATGTGGCACCATGTCGGGACTGTACTGGATCTCGATGAAGTGGCCTAGGGTCTTTGATCCCAGGAGGGGCCTGAGAGGCAGGCTGCTGGGTTCCCTCCTGGCAGACTCAGACCTAAGGCCATCTCTGTGTCCCTGGTCCCAGCGCTGGAACCCCATGGGTGGCTTCTGCGAGAAGCTCCTGCCGAGTGACCGCTGGCCGTGGAGTGACGTGAGTGGCCTCCAGCACCGGTTGCTGGATGGGGTGGCACTGCCATCGCCTCACTGGGAGTGGGAGTCCGACTGGTACGTGGATGAGAATTTTGGAGGGGAGCCCACTGAGAAAGGGGTAGGTAAACTCAGTGCCCACCTTGGCCGCCCTGAAGGGAGGGTCACCCTGGGGGGGGCTCAGCCTGCCCCTCGATGTTGCTGTCCCCAGCTGTGCCCTGCAGGGTCTGACTGCTGCTTCCTGTGGGGTTGTGCATTCGAGTCCTGCCGTCACGCTCCCGACGCCCTCCTCCCTCGGTCTCCCATCTTCGCATCTCTCCCCCCAGAGCCTTAGGGAATCCCGTCCTTGGCATTTCAGGGGTGGACCTATGCCATCGACTTCCCTGCCACCTACACGAGAGACAAGAAGTGGAACTCATGCGTGCGGCGGCGGAAGTGGATCCGATACAGGAGATACAAGTCCCGAGACGTCTGGGCCAAGGTCTGTGCCTAAGGGCACGTGAGCCCACCCTGAGACCTGCTCTATGAGTTGTCCTGCCATGGCTTCCAAAGAGAGGGGCTCTCAGGCACTCACTTAGCCTCTCTGTGTCCCTGGCACAGTGGCTGGGTCTGTCAGGAGCCCCAGGCTCCAGAGAGCAGATCCCAGCAGGCAGTCTCAGAAGCCCAGAGCCAAGATCCATGGCTCATCTAGCTGTCCCATGGGCACTCCGGGACGGCCTGTCCTGGTGACTGATCGAGAGAGAGGGCAGGGCAGAGAGAGAACCCTGCATTCCTGTCCCCAGCTTCTGTATGAGGTTAGGCAGTGTGGGCCCAGCTGGAGAGGAGGGAGAGGACCCAGCATGGGTATCTGACCAGATAGTCACCCGGTCGTGACAGCCACTGTGTGTTGCCTCCTCATTTTAGATCCCCTCGAAGGATGACCCCAAGGACCTGCCTGACCCCTTCAGTGACCTCTCTGTGGGGGGGTGGGAGATCACAGAGGAGCCTGTGGGCCGCCTGTCAGTGTGGGCTGTGTCTCTGCAGGGAAAGGTAAGACCCCTGTCCACAGGCTCTGGGTGTGAAGCAGCAAGGGAGGCAGCCCAGCCACAGGCCAGGCAGGAACAGGGTCCCTGGGTGCAGGGAACAAGGCGCCTGGAGACCTCCATGCCTCCTGTCCCTGGGGTTGGGGCGTCCTGAGAGGGCAGCGCCTTACCAGGCTCCCCACAGAGCCCCCTCCTGTGTGTCCTGTCCTGTGGTCTCCTGGATCCCACTCCTCCCAGAAACCTCTGATCCCCCAGCCCATGCCTGGTCCTGCCTTGCCTCTCCTGGGCTCCCTGGGCTTCCATACCATCCAGATTTCTCCTTAGACACATTCTGGGCTCCCAGCCTTCTCCCTGCTGGTGCTTCCCACAGCCTCCATGAGTATTGTGCCTGGGTGGGTGGTTGGATAGTTGGTGACTAGGTAGATCGGTGGATGGATGGTGTATGGGTGGGTGGAGGGATGGATGATGTGTGGAGGGACAGGTGAGTGGGTGGATGGATGGTATGGTGGGTGGGTGTTGGACGGATAGGAGGGTATGTGGGTGGATGCAGAGGTAACGGATATATAGATGCCTGGATGGTGTGTGGATGGAGGGCTAGGGGTGGGTAGAGTTAGGAATGGATAGGCATCAGGGGTGTGGATGGGTGGATGATGGGTGAATTCTTGGACAGTGGATAGGTAGGGGGATATGTGGGTGGATAGATAGGCAGGGGTTGGGTGTGTGGATGGATAGATGCTGTGTGTGGATGCTTAGAGAGAAGGTATCCTTTTCTGAGAAACTCTGTAAACACGTAAAAAGGAATGAAACTACCTCTGGCAGTGGTGGCTCATGTGATCCTTAGCTCAGGGGACCCAGCCCTCTTGCCATGGTTTTAGATGATTCTTTACAGTTGGTCAGTGGCTTCTACCACAAATTGACCGCAGGTCTGCCGTTGGCTTTGGGCTTGTCATGGCAGGTTATTTTTAGTAGGCTTGCCTCTGGGGTCCCGCCCGGCCAGGACTCAGGTTAACCACAGCTGCTTCCTCTGTGCCCTGCTGAGGGGTGCCAGAACATACCAGCAGGTGAGGGCGTGGCCCAGGACAGAGTCCCTGACAAGGAGCCTCGTCTACCTAGATGCAGAGAGAGAGGAAGGGCCACAGCAGTGTTTGTGTTCCCCAAGTGCCAGTCCACTCCTGCGGTCTATGAGAGGTGGCACCAGGACTCTGTGCTCCAGGGGCCAAGGAGACAGTGTGCCCTGAAGCCGCCTGGTACCAGGAAGGAGGTTCCCCAGGCCTGGCTGGAAGGCCCATTGTAAGGATGGGGTGTCGGGACCTCAGTGTGAAGATTCTGTAGTGGGTCACCAGCCCTGCCTGTAGAGATGTGTGGCCTCCTCTGATGAAATGAGCCAAAACCTGGACGATATGAGGGCATTGTGCAGTCTTAGCTATTCAGGTTAAAGAGCAAGAGAAGTAGACATTGGTAGGAATATGGGTTGGGGTTTTCCCACTTAGCCCCCCTGGACCTTGGCTGCCCCTGCAGGTGGATGTCCTGTGAGCACTTCACCACTAGGGGGCGCAGGACACATGGGTTGGAGGCTGGCGTTGCACATGGTGGTTGGGTGGCAGAGCCCCTCACCTGCAGGTGAATGGGGCAGGTGAGGGCTGGGTGGGGGTCTGCACACTGGGGTACCCAGAGACCCCCATGCACAGCTGTGCAGCGGTGCCAGTAGGCCCCACGGGTACCACACCCTCCTGTCGTTTCTCAGGTGTGGTACAGGGAGGACGTCAGTCATCCCAACCCGGAAGGCTCGTCATGGTCCCTGGTGGACACCCCCGGGGAGGCTGTCCAGATCAGCTGCGGGCCCCACGACCTCCTGTGGGTCACGCTGTGGGAGGGGCAGGCCCTGGTCCGGGAGGGGATCAACAGGAACAACCCCAAAGGTGGGTGACCGTGTCCTGCGGGAGCCGGAGGCCCCTCCCAGCGTTGCGGCTGATGGAGGCTTCCTGGGGTTTCTTGGGGACTGCTAGGCAGTTCGTGGTCCGTCGTGGAGCCTCCTGGGGCTGGGAATGGGATCACGCACGTCTCCGCCGGAGTGAGTGTGGTCTGGGCTGTCACCAAGGACCGGAAGGTAAGACGGGGATGCTGGGACTGGGGGCTCAGCAGGTGCCACTTAACGTTGGGGTTCTGTTCTGTGAGGGTTGTCTGAACTCGACACGACCAATCTGGCATCCACCAGGCACTGAGCATGTGAGCTGCTGAGATAAGCCCCTGTCTCCAGGACGTTGGATGCCAGCCTCTCCTCACTCACACCCAAGTACCAAACTGCAGAGCAGCTGTAGTAGGCCACACATTTCAGATAATCAGAAGCTAATTTGCTGAGACTCTCAGTTAAATGCCTCTGCCTTCCCCTATTCAGTGCTTATGTTTGTATCCTCTGTGTGTGTGTCTTACTAGTGATTGAACCTAGGATCTTCACACTGAACTACACCTCCAGCTCTGTTTTAATTTCTTTTTTTAACTTTTTAAAAACTTTTGTACAGAGTTTTGTTAAGTCACTGAATTGCCCTGGCTGAGGTTGAACTTGGGGTCTTCCTGCCTCAGCCTCCCAGCGTGGCCACCATTGTATTTCTGTCTCATCAGCCGCAGGTCCAATAAGATTAGCCAATTCCAGACTGCTTGGCACCCAGGAGGACGGATGCGTATACATCTGAGTCTGTATCACCAGCACCCATGGGCCCAGAGCCTCAGGCCACATCTAGCCTGACAAAATATGGGTGTCACTGTCTTCCCAGGATGCTCCAGGCACCCCACTTCCCAGGGGTGGTAACTGCCAAGCCCCTCTTACAGCAACACCACCATCCCTTTGGCTTAAATAAGCAAAAATTGGATTTGTATATATGTCTTCTCAGTCGTCAGATTTTTTTTTGGTCCCAGGGATCAAACTCGGGACCTTGCGCCTTGGAGGCAGGCAGCAGAACCACTGAGTTAAATCCCTGGCCCAGTCGTCAGATATTTGATATGCTCACTTTCTTTGGGTTTAGCAGATACATTCTAGATTTTTTTTTTTTTTTGAGATGAGATCTAGCTATGTTGCTCAGGATGGCCTTGAATTCCCAGGCTCAAGGAATCCTCCCACCTCAGCCTCCTGATTAGCTAGGACTCCAGGTGCATGATGCCGACTTTCTAGAAATGTTTGTGAGAGGGGTTTGAGAGTTTTCTCATGTAACTGACCCCTCACACAGTGCACCTTAGAAATTCAGCACGAGTGCTGACTCACCAGGATCTCAGGGGCCCCTTGCGGCCCACACTCCAAGTGGGTAGAAAGAGCCCTGGAGGACAGTGGGCCAGGTGGGGGCCCGGGATCACCAGATGAGCCTCAGAGCCACAGGCAGGCTTGGGGAAAACGTAATTGGATGCTATGTAGTTTTATAAGTTGACATTAAGGAGACAGTTTCATAAAGCATTAAATGTAGAACCCAAGTAGGCCATTTATTTTAATAATGAGTTTGTAGTTTTCCTACATAACCTCACTAAGGCCGCTATCTCATGCAGAGGACAACTTGAGTCAAGAAAATCTTCCACGGGTTGGGTCAGGGACAGGCATGGCTGAGGCCGATAACTCTTAGCCCTTGTAGGACAGTGCCGAGCACCGGAGGGCACAGGTGCAGCTGTGGGAAGAGGGACACACACTGGGCCTGCTCACTGCCCCATGCCCTGATTAGCCGGCCATGCCCGCCTGTAACCCTAGCGCTCTGGGAGGCTGAGGCAGGAGGGTCGCAAATTCAAATTCAGTCTGGGCAACTTTGAGACTTAGCAAGATCCTGTCTCAAAACAAAATTACAAAATAAAGGGCTGGGGATATAGTTCAGTGTGAAACCTCTGGGTTCTATCCCCAACATGACAATCAATCAGTAAAAAGAAAGGAAAAAAAGCAAAGCCCCGTTGCCATGGCCTCCGGGGAAATGTGTTCTTTTCTGGCTTTCCCAGGTGTGGTTCCGGAGAGGCGTCAACTCACACAACCCCTGCGGCACCAGCTGGCTCGAGATGGTCGGGGAAATGACTATGGTGAACGTGGGGCTGAACGACCAGGTGGGTGTGCGCCTCCCGGGGCTCCTAGGGCAGTGTGTCCGGCCCTTCCCCGCGGCAGGGGTCCCTGCCTTCGAGGGCTCCTGTCGTGAGCACAGATCTGCTGGGGGTGGGGACCCTGTCTGCAGGCTGGACAGTGTCATGCGGACGTGCGAGGTCTGATCAAAACATACCGTGTGCATTTAAATTTAGAAATTGATTACAGAAAAAGACACACCAGTCTTAAGGCCCTGCAAATCCTCCCCTCCCTCTGAACACACTCATCCCATGGTCCTCGCCACTTCCTGCAGCAGCTCTGGAGCCCTCTTTTCTGAGGGTCTTTAGTTGCGCTCTTGTGGCTGCCTTGATGTCCTGAATTGATTCAAAATGCTTTCCATGAAACGCTTTCCATTTTTACTTTGGGGAGGAGCCAGAAGTTGCACAATGCCAGATCTGATGAACAGGGTAGATGAGGACTGACTGTCATGTTTTTACGAGTAGCATTCATCCTATTTTTTATTACATTTTTTATTACATCTTTTTTTTGGTACCGGGGATCAAATTCAGGACCTTGTGCTTGCAAGGCAGGTGGTTACATTTCATTTTTTATTACATTTCATAATGACCTGAAAGAAGACTTCCAGAACTGCTTCAGGAAGTGACAGAAACAATGGAATAAGTGTGTTCATCGTGAGAGGGAGTAACTTGAAGGGGATTAATGGCAAGGTGTCTTTTTCTGTAACAATTTTTCTTTCTAAAATGTTGAACATTCGCCATATTTTTTGATCAGCCCTTGTACTTAGGGTGTTCACCAAGTGAGGGGCGGAACTGGTCTCTCACACTGTGGGTGCTGCTTCTCGTTAGCGTCACCTCTGCATTTGACAGCATGGCCTCTTCTTGTCGATAGTGAGGTCTGGGTACTGTTCAGGCTCAAAGGCTGCAGCCCCTTGCTGTGGCAGTGACAGCCCCAGTGCTCAGCACCCAGAGCACAGACGTTCCCTTAGGGAGCAGCTGCCCACTGGAAGCCACGGGAAGACGGGGGCACAGGTAGACCTTGTGTCTCAGCACAGTGCCTGTCCAGCCGCTCTGTCCTGTGAGCCCTGCCCTGAGTCTCCCTGACACTGGGGACCCGGGCCCAGGTCCCTGTTTCTGAGCCCCAACCTCCCCAGCCCCGGCCCATGCTCACACCCATACCCCACTGCGTGGCATGGGAGGCTGCCCCGGGTTTGCAGTTGTACTCCTGCCCTGCTGGCCTCTCGCTGTCCCCCTGCACCCCTGGTAAGATTCGGGAGCCCCAGGTCTGACCCTGAGCAGCGCCTCTCTCTGTCCAGGTCTGGGGCATCGGCTGTGAGGAGCGAGTTGTGTACTTCCGGCAGGGCGTCACCCCCAGCGAGCTCAGTGGGAAGACGTGGAAGGCCATCGTCGCAGCCCGGGAGAGTGACCATTCGCACTCTGGCAGCTCATCGAGCCTCCTCAGGTGACCCTGGGCAGCGGACACAGCAGTAGCTGGGGACAGACTATCTGCAACCTCTGCAGGGCGCTGGCCCTCAGCAGTCCCCATGCCCGTGAGAGCCCCAGGTGCCGAAGGCTGGCTGCTCAACCCCGTAGGAGGAGCCTGGGGGGGACCGAGCAGAGGTGTCCTCAGGCACCCTGGAGGTCAGGATGGGACTGGGACTGAACCGGGTCTGGCCTGCTGGTTCTGAAGGCTTAGGCGCTAGGCTGGAAGGGCCGTCTCTGAGGGGACGCTAGGCCTGTAGGAGGCACTCGGGGACCCAGGCAGGGACTCCCTCTGGTCTGGTCCCAGAGTGGACACTCCCTGCAGTGTGCTGGAAGGACGCAAGCCTCCGACAGGTCTCCAGGTCCTGCCTGTGCCTGTGGTGAGATTTTGGGTTTATCATGAGGTCCCCTGGTGATGTCGCTGCCACGGCAATCCTGGCAGTCACACTTTGGGGTCCATGGGTCTGAGAGGGCGGGAAAGTCTCAGCTCTTGCCCGGCCCTGAGAGCACAGGCAGGTGACCACGTGTCTGATCAGGGATGCCTCATGCTGCCCTGGCAGTGCCCACAGCTGGGAGCCCTGACCAGGAGCACCCCGTGCAACTCGGGCCTCCCAGTCCCTGTTCTCCTCCCCTCGGACCCCCGAGCTCAGCTGGCATCCCTCCCCCGGGATTGGTCTCCTTCACTGGCGGTCGGTGCATTGGGATCAGCAGATGAGCTGCCCAAAATACTGATGGCGCGTCTTCTTGTCCTTAGATTTGGCCGTGGCTTCTCAGAGAAGACACTAAAGGCACTGTCACTTTCAGTACAGTATTGAATTATATGAGATAGTCAATGGTGATGTGTACAGTAGTTTTCATGTTAGATTGTTTTGCCCAACTGTGATCTGATGTGAGTGCTGTGAGCACATTTAAGGTATGCTAGGCCCTGTGATGTTCAGAGTGTGCGTGTGCGTGTGTGTGTGTGTGTTGCTGGGGATTGAACCCAGGGCTTTTACACTGAGCTACATCTCCAGCCCTTAATTTTGAGACAGGGTCTCGCTAACTTGCAAAGTTGCCAGGCTAGGCTCAAAGTTGCTATCCTCCTGCCTCAGCCTTCCAGAGTGCTAGGATTACAGCCATGTGCCAACAGGCCTGGCTTTTAAATGCATTGTCATCTTAAAATATTTTCAGTTTATGATGGGTTAATCAGAACACAATCCAGGTATAAGTCAAAGGACGGACATCTGCACAAATAATTTAACTTCATCAAAATGAAAAATTTAGGGGCCAGCTATGGCAGTGCATGCCTGCGATCTCAGCTACTCAGGAGGCTAAGGCAGGGGGAGGCCAGCCTGAGCAGTTTAGCAAGAGCCTGTCTCAAAATAAAAATAAATAAAAAAGACTGGGGAACAGCTCAGTGCTGCAAAAAATACAAAACACTTCTGTGAATCAAAGGACACTATCAAGAGAATGAAAAGATAACTTACACAATGGGGAAAATATTTGCAAATCACAAGGTAAGAAACTTACCTCTCAAATATATTTCAAAATTTCTTTGAATGACAACAAAAAGACAACCCATTTAAAAAGGGCGGGCTGGGGTGCCGCCCAGGGGTAGGGCATGGATAATATTTCTCTGAAGATATACAGAAACCCACAAGCACATGCAAAGATGTTCAGCATCATTAGTCATTTGGGAAATGCAAATTGAAACCTCAGTCGGAGACTGTGTCTTACTCCCCAGAAGGGCTGTGACTCAAGAAAGACACAGGTGCTGGTGAGGGTTTGTACCAGTGAGGACCCTCGCACATTGCAGGTGAGAATGTAAGATTGTCTAGCCATCGGGGAAAACAGTTTAATGGTTGGTAAAATATTTGTCAATGCAAGGAACGAAATACTGATGTACACTATGACATAGACGAATTCTTAAGGAAACTATGCTAAATCACACATGATATCACTCGCCTGTACTCCCAGGACTTGAGAGGCTGAGGCAGGAGGATACAAGGCCAGCCTGGGCTATGTAGCAAGACCCTGTCTCAAACAAAACAAAACAGGAAAAACTGTTCTGCTAAGTGAAAGAAGCCAGGCATGGAAGGCCACACACCGATTCCATGATTCCACTTATGTGAAATGTCCAGCATAGGCAAATCCATAGTGACAGAGTAAACCGGTGTTCTCTGGAGAAGTGGGGGGCGGAGGAAGAGGGGGACAGGGGCAGCAGCTCAGGGGCAGCAGCTCAGGGGCAGCAGCTCAGGGGCAGCAGGTTTCCGTTTGGGTGATGAAAACCATGTGGAAGTAGGTGGTGGTGGCTGTGCAGCTCCATCAGTGTATGAGAGCCCCTGAAGCATATATGCTTTCAAATGGTGTAAATGATCAAGTTCATGTCCTGTGTATTTATCACAATGAAGAGTTCCGGATCAGGGGCTGGGGATTTAGCTCAGTGGTGCTACGCCTGCCTGGCAAGCGCAAGGTCCTGAGTTGGTCCTGAGTTCGATTCCTGGGTGGGGGGGACAAAAAAACAAAGAAGAATTCCAGATCAGGCCCAGGCATGGTGGCCTACGCCTGTAATCCCCTCACTCTAGGAGTCTGAGGCAGGAGGATCGAAAGTTTGAACCCTGTCTGGGGAACATAGTGACTTAGCAAGACTCTCTCAGAAAAAGGAAAGGGAAAGGGAAAGGGAGGGGAGGGGAAAAGAAGGCAAATAATGCTGGGGATGTGGCTCAGGGCAGAAGCCCTGGGTTCAATCCCCAGTACCACACACACACGAGTTCCAGATCACCACAGCCTAATGTCTTGCTGTGATGGTCTGGGGTGTGGCCTGAGTGTTTGGTCCTGGGAAACATCTCCGCCTGTGCAGAGGAGCTGGGAGCTCAGAGAGGTTGTGACGCGCCCCATGCCACATGGGTGGTCACAGCAGCCATGCATGTCCCCCGGGAAGGACTGATGTCTGCCCTGTTCTGTCCCCAGCGCTGGCTGCTTCTTTGGCGATGAGGTGAAGGGCGGCAGTGAGTCTGCGCCCAGTGACACTGATGCAGCCTCGGAAGCCGAGAGACCCAGGCCTGAGCAGTCTGCCCCTGAAGAGCTTTCGGACAATTCCAGGGACCCCAAGGGCAGCTCGGCCCTGAGCCCTGAGACTGGGGGATCTGCAGAGTGTGCCTCGGTGGACACCTGTCCTGCTGAGGGCCAAGGGGAGGCCACCCAGGCCCCTGGCGCCAGTGAACGCCCTGTGGTGGCCTCCACGCCTGCTGAGCTGCCCTGGACCAACATTGACCTAAAGGAGCCCAGGAATGCACCCAGCCACTCCACTGCAGGCTTTGCTGAGACCACGGGCCTCTCCTCCCTGGGGCTCTGCCCACTGGGGCTGGACGAGCCCTATGGGGTGGACGAGCCCCTGCTGTGGGCCTGGGTGTCCGGGGGCAGCTGCACGGTGGAGGTGGGCTCAGCGCTCAAGTGGTTCACTGTCCAGTCAGGTGAGGACCCTGCAGGGCCAGGCGTCCCCAGAGCTGCTGCTGTGGGGTAAGGTGTGTGGCGGGAGGCTGGGGGCTGGAGCATACCCACTGCCCAGGACCGTGGGCTGGTGTGCAGCGGCTCGTCACACGCCCTGTTCTGGTGCCGCTGGCAGTTTTGAGGGCCGACTTGTTAGGCCAGCAGCTTACTCAGAGTGACCCCGAGAGGAAGGTGCAGAGGGCATTCTGCAGAGGTCGGGGCTTTGTAGTAAGTGGGGCTGATGTTAAGCTGAGTGGTCCACGCCTGCAATCCTAGAACCTGGGAGGCTGAGGCAGGAGGCTCACAAGTTCCTCTTAGCAAGACCCAGTCTCAAAATAAAAAATAGTAAGGGCTGGCAGAGTAGCTCAGTGGGAAGGCCTTGGGTTCAGCCCCCAATGGTGCAAAAGAAAGGAGCGGGGTGCCAGCCCTGGCCTCTGCCCAGCTGCAGGCCAGCATGCTGGCTCTGAGGCCCTGGCCTCCCGCAGGCCTGTCTCCCTCGGTGCAGTCCCTGTCCCTGTCCATCACGCCAGCCCAGACTGCCGCCTGGAGGAAGCAGATCTTCCAGCAGCTCACAGAGAGGACCAAGCGGGAGCTGGAGAACTTCAGGCACTACGAGCAGGCCGTGGAGCAGGTGGGCCCCTCGCTGCCCCTGTGCTGTCTCTGCAGCAGACATTTGTTGAGCGCCTGCCATGTACCAGCTCTGAGCTGGCAGGGAAGGAGCAGGCGGCGGCAGCCCTGCATCTGCCCACCCAGCTCAGTCCTTAAGCATGGCTGAAGGATAAGGAAGTGAGCTGACTCGTGCATGCATCCATCCTGAAGGACTGTTGAGGCCCTGCCACCTTGCAGGCACTGTGCAGGGCCCGGAGACCTGGAGAGGGCAGTAATCTCAGGAGGTGGGCAGGAAGGGGAGCATCAAAGCACCTTGTCCTGTCTGCCTGAAGACATCTTGTCCTGTCCCCGCTGAGAACCCAGCACGCACCATCCTGTGGTTTGTCAAAATGACTCAGGATGGAGTGGCTAGTGGTCCTGGCCCTCCCCAAGGTGCAGCTTGTGCCTGGCCCAGGCTGGACCTTAGGTCCCAGCACCAACTCCCTCTCTGGTACTCAGGTAGTTTGGGCTCCTTCCGGGGCCTCAGTTTCCCCATCCGGAACATGGGCTAACGGTACCAGTCCCATGGCTGCGTGAGGAAGAGGAGGTCGCATAGGGCCGGCTCTGGCTCAGTCCAGTGCCTGACAGTGTCCTTGTCATTCATGGGGGTGTTGGGCACTATGGAACAGGCAGCTCGGGTGTGGAACTCCCGGGGATGGCCCGCAGGGCCGAGGGCAGTGGTGACCGTGTCCCTGTGGCCTTGGTGCTGGCTGTAGTCAGTGTGGGTGAAGACTGGGAGCCTGCAGTGGTGGTGTGACTCGAAGCCCCACAAGTGGGTGGACGTCCGTGTGGCCCTGGAGCAGTTCACGGGACACGACGGGACCCATGACAGCATCCTCTTCATCTACTACATGGTCCACGAGGAGAAGAAGGTACAGGAGGGGAAGGGGGCAGGGTCAGTGGGACGCAGGCAGGGCCTGCCTGTCCCTCACAAAGGCTGCCTCCTCCACGGTGGTCACCCAGTGCCGCCTCCCCGCCAGCTGCTGCCCGTAGGCTCTAGTTTTGTTTTTGTTGTTCTGAGATAGAGGTTTGCTGCACAGTTCAGGATGGCTTTGAACTTGTGACAGTTCTCCTGCCTCAGCCTCCAGAGTGCTGGGATTACAGGTGAGCGCCGCCACACCTGACTGGACTTTCTGAAGTGAGAAATCAGTTGTGGGGAGATAGAGGTGTCACCTCCCAGCAGGTGCCATGTCATAGGCGGTTAATGTCAAAAGCGTTCCTTTAAAATGTCATGAGGAAGTTGGGCATGGTGGCACATGCCTGTAATCCGGTACTCTGGAGGACACAGGGCTCAAGCCTTTATCCTGGACAACTTAACAACAGAGGGAAACCTTGTCTCAAAATAAAAGTTAAAAAGGGACTGGGGATGTAGCTTGGTGCAGAGGCCCTGGGTTCAGTGCCCGCCCCCCCGGAAATGTCACGAGGACGTTTGTTCTCGAATGAAGTGCAGCCTCGGTATTGGCACTTGCTCTATGCTGTGGCCCGCAGTGGTACTGGCGGGCCATGGGGACCCCTGCCGAGGTGACAGCCGTGCACGTGCTCCTTATCAAACAGTACTTCCACGTGTTCCTCAACGAGGTGACGGCACTGGTGCCTGTGCTCAGTGAGGCCAAGCACTGCTTCGCCCTGTACAACCCAGAGAGGACGCGGCAGAGGTGGCCTGTGCGCCTGGCTGCCCCCACCGAGCAGGACATGAACGACTGGGTGAGTGAGTGGCGGCCCTGGGACTGGGACCAGGAGCGGCGGGCCGAGCCTGTCCTGCAGTGACGCCCCTCTGCCCACACCAGCTCGCCCTGCTCAGCCTGAGCTGCTGCATCAGCCGGAAGGTCCACGGCCGCCCGTCTCCACGGGCCATCTGGTCTGTCACCTGCAAAGGGGACGTCTTTGTGAGCGAGCCCAGCCCAGACCTGGAGGCCCAGGACCGCCTGCTGCCCTGTGACCAGATGTGAGTGGGCTGCGCCCCCGCCCCCCAGGCCCGGGCACACGGGGCTGGCTCCACAGAGCCCAGCCCTCCCCATTCCTGCTCCGGCTGAGCTTTGGGCAGGGGACCGTGTGCAGGCTCTGCCCCCAGCCCTGGGGCTCCTGGACACATCCCAGAAGCCACGATCCCCCCATCCGCGGACTCCAATCCTGGAGCTCAGGCGCCAGCTCCTGCTGAACCCTGCAGCACAGGGCCGTGGGGGCAGAGAGGGAAGGAAGGAAGTCGTGTGTTTCCCGGCAGACGTGGGCAGCAGACTCAGACTTCATGGCTGCAAGGGCTGGGGCTGCTTTAGACATAGCGAAGGCCAGACCTGGGGCTCGGCGGACCCAGTTGGGGCATTTAAAGCCCCAGGGGGAGCTAGGCGCGATCGTGTGTACTTGTAACCCCAGCGCTCCGGTAGGCTGAGGAAGGAGGATGGCAAGTTTGTGTCCGGCCTGGGAAACAGAGACCCTGTCTGAAAATAAGATGGGATGGGATGGGATGGGATGGGATGGGGTGGGGTGGGGTATGATAAGATGTGGTAGGGTGTGAGTGGTAGGACGCGACAGAGTAAGGCTCAAGGTGCACCTCGGTGCGGAGGACCACAGTCCCCGCACCACAGACAAGTCAATACGCAAAGGCCCTAGAGGGACCGAAGTAGCCCGAGGGGACTGGTGTGACCAGAGCCCCAGGAGGAGGACGACGGGCAGGGGCACAGCCCCGAGAGGCTGAGGCTCATTTACCAGTGGTTAGCGTCAAGCCCAGGAGCCCGTCAGCCCTCAGTGAAGGAGAAGCGCGCCCATATTCCCTGAGCCCCTTGTACCCAGCACCCTCGGGTGACAGGGATGCAGCCTCAGCCTGCGGGAAGCTGCAGGGTCAGTGCAGACCTCGCTGGCACCCAGTGCAGAGTCAAACAGCAGTGTCCCTGCCCTGCCACTGCAGCGTTTTATTTCGGTGCTGGGGACTGAACACGGGGCCTTCCCACTCAGCCCACATCCCCGGCTCTCTTTTAGAAATTTTTAGAGACGGTGTCTTGGTCAGCGAACAGATTGCCCAGGCTGGGCTTGAACTTGCCCCTCTGCCTGCCTCGGCCTCCCAGAGTGCTGGGATTACAGGCGCGTTTCACTGTGCCTGGCTCTGCCACCACATTCAAGCTGGCCGTACCTGTCACTGCGGCCTGCCCAGCCTGTGTCTCGGCCCCCAGGGGCAACTCGAGCACTGCTGACCTCTGCCCCGGTCAGTGTAGCTCAGGGATGGGGGGGCAGGCTCCTGAGGACCTCCTGCCTTTCCCGTGGCAGCCCTAGCTCACACACAGGGGAGGCCGGGGATCTGGAGACCAGGATGGTAGAATACCTCATCATGGGGGCTGCAGACGGGGGCCTGGATGGGCTGCAGGTTGGAGGCCAGGCCGAGGTGTCTGTCCTGCTCCCTGCTCCTGGCCCCCAGGTTCTGGAGGCAGATGGGAGGCCACCTGAGTATGGTGGAGGCCAACAGCCGCGGCGTGGTGTGGGGCATCGGCTACGACCACACGGCCTGGGTGTACACAGGCGGCTACAGCGGAGGCTGCGTTCACGGTGAGCCTGGCCGCTTGCTGCTCCCTCTGCTGCCCTGCCCAGCACCAGGGCCGCTGGCCCAGCGCTGACACTTAGCTAACAGCTGCCTGACAGGTGACCTTCAGCACTGCCAGCCTCCACAGGAGGACAATTCCTGGGCAAGGCATGGGGCAGGGGCCCCCAGAGACCAGGCCTCGCCCCAGGGGCACCCGCTGGGAACCCAGCAGCTGAGCTGTGGGCTGTGAATACTTCTGGAAGGCAGCTGCCGGGGCCCTGCAGTACGGTCGGCCTCATTTCACAGACGAAGGCTCAGGCGGCCTTGGATAGACCCAGGAGCCTGGTCGTGATTCTGTGGCTCAAGCTCTAGCCCCCACGTGGCGCACTACACCTTTGGAGTGAGGAACTGCTGAGGCCCCAGGGGCTCCTCCAGTTTTGGGAGGCAGAAGCAGTGCTGAAAGGACGTTCCGTGCCCCAGAGCCCGTGCCCCAGGGCGGGAGGCAGCTGGCTAGACCTGTGGTCCACTGAGGCCGCAGGAACGCACACCTGTATGGGCTTGGCAGCTCCCCATCTGTTTACCACAGAGAGACAGGCTTGCAGAGGTTGTGTGCGTGAGCTAAGGTGCCTTTGCAGACTAGGGGTGAGCTGGGGCACCTCCCTCCCTCCCACCTGCCTGGTGCTGGGTGAGGAGATTGCATGAGGCGGAGGCAGAGGCGGAGGTGGTGGCGCGGGAGGTGGATGTGCAGCAGATTCTTCTCATTGAGGCCCAGAATAACCATGGCCGCGGAGAGGGGAGCCCCAGCCAGGCCTAGCCATGAGATGAGCTTCCCGACTCCCTGCCTCAGCTGCCCTGGCTCCAGCCGCCCTTCCGCCTGTTCTCTTCGGGCTTTGGGGCTCCAGGCCACCGGCAGGGCCCCGGGGCTGGTTCGGCATCCGTCCCAGTGGCCTCATCTCCTTCCAGGCCTGGCCACCAGCAATAGCAACATCTACACGCAGTCGGACGTGAAGAGCATCTGTATCTATGAGAACCAGCGTTGGAACCCAGTCACTGGCTACACCAGCAGGTGAGGGCCCGGGCGCCTGGCCAGGGGCCGCCTGGCTCAGACACAGTTGTTTCCTTCTTTACTTTGGTTTTTGGAGACAGGATCTTGCTGCATTGCCCAGGCTGGCCTTGAACTTGTGGTGCTCCTCCTGCCTCGGGTCTGGAGTGCTGGGATTGTAGACGCCGTGCCGTGATGCGCGCCACACCTGGCTGCTTTGTTTTTGTCTTTTTTCTTTTCTCATCTCCTCCTCCTCCCCTGCCCCTAGGGATCGAGCCCAAGGCCTTCACACCGAGCTACATCTCCAACCCCTTTTTTAGTTTTGTTTTGAGACAGAGTTTCCATAAGTTGCCCAGCTAGGTTCAAACGTGCCATCTTCCCGCCTCAGCCTCTCAGAGTGCTGGGATTGTTGGCCTGCACCGCACACTTGGTAGTTCTGCTTGGGATTTCTGGGGAGGGGGTGTTGGTGGTGAGGCCAGGCCTCCTGTTCTGTGATTTATGTTTTCTTCATGGTGACTTTTGATGTTTAAGTGTGTGTAGTCCAGTTGGTCAATCTTTTTTTTTCTTTGCTTTCTTTGTGTGTGTGTGTGTGTGTGTGTGTACACACGGACGCTGGGGATAGAACTGTAGGTGAGCACTCTACCACTGAACTACACCCCACCCCTTATTTTTTATTTTGAGACAGCGTCTCACTAAGTTGCCTCAGACTTCTGGTTCCCCTCCCACAGCCTCCCACGTAGCTGGGATTACAGACGTGCGCCGCTGATACACCTGAATGGCCTCTTCTTACCTTGGCCGTCTGTGAAGACCCTATTTCCAAACAAGACCACACTCAGGGTTGCTAGGTCTTAGGGTGTCAGCATCTCTAGGGCACAGTATCCAGCCCGTAACACCAGGAAGAGAGGTGACTCCCAATCCGCACAGACTACCATGGCCTCAGTGGCCATCTCAGCTCTTGTGGCCTGTGCACCATGGCGATGTGGGGTACCCCTATTTGGCGTCTTTGCCTTGGGGGGTTCTGTGTTTATCACCCCGACAAGCGAGCGACCCAGGAGGCTGCTAGTTGTGGGGCTAGAGCTCAGACTCACTCCCTCAGGCCCCCCAGGAATGGGGTACAAGCTTGGTAGCAGGGCTGCCTGGGGTGGGTGCTGCTCCTGGTCCTCACTGTCACCCCACACCTGTCCCCCCGCTGCAGGGGCCTGCCCACGGACCGATACATGTGGAGCGACGCCACGGGGCTGCAGGAGTGCACCAAGGCCAGCACAAAGCCCCCGTCCCTACAGTGGACCTGGGTGAGCCCCACCATCCTGTGCCGCTGCCCTCCCCTCCACAGGTTTCTGACTGTTCTGGGGAGACGGGGTCCCCGTTCTCACTGACTGACTTCTCCCCAGGTTTCAGATTGGTACGTGGACTTCAGCGTTCCTGGTGGCACAGACCAGGAAGGGTGGCAGTATGCCAGTGACTTCCCTGCGTGAGTCTCTCTCTGCCTCAGCTTCATGGGCCAGGTCCCCAAGCACTGGGGGACCCTGGGCCCTGTGACCTCTCGACCCCCAGCTCAGCTGCTGTAAGGCTAGGCCCAGTGGTGATGAGCAGGAGGCTTTGGGGCTGGGTGAACAGGCATAGGTGGGAGCAAGTAGCTCCCTCAGCACTGGCTCTGTCCCTGCTGTGCCAGGCCCGAAGGTTCTGGAAGGATCTGGTGTCCTGGGCCGAGGGGCTCAAGTAGGGTGAGGGCCTCTGAGCTGGGGTCTCTGGGGGGTTTGGGGCCAGGTCCTGAATGACTGGTGGTGGGGGCAGCCCTAAGGAGGGTATCAGGGGAAGGGGCAGCATGGGGCCCTCAGAGTGAGGCTGGCACCGTCCTGGGAGGCTAGGTGTGTGGGCAGGTGGGAAGGTGGGTCAGTGGGCAGCAAGCCACAGCACCAAGGACTGCTCAGCTCGCTCAGCCCCACACAGGACATGAATGTTATCCTGTCGGAAGAGCTGAGCCAGGAGGACCTGAGCTGGGGCCCAAGCGGGTGGCTTCCCAGCGGGCCCAGCCAGGAGGCAGGGGCCAGTCCCTCAGCCTTGGACTCAGCTCCACCAAGGCCTCCTGTTCCCCAGAAGGGCTCTGACGGGGTCTGGGGAGGGGAGGGTGCCCCGAGCTCCTGAGCTGGGCCCTCTGCACGTCCAGGTCCCAGCTATGTCTGTTACTGGGTGGTTTCTTTAGAAAGATTTCTTCACAAATCAAAAGTGTTCCATGCCCTTCTTGCCCCGAATGAAGAATAAGACAGGACAAGCCTAAAAGGGTGCCAAATGTTTATTTGAAAAGTACGGGGTAGGGCTGGGGATCTAGCTCAGTGGTTCCGTCACCTGCTTCACAGGCGCAAGGACCCGAGTTCGATCCCCGGTACCGAAAAAAAGAAAAAAGAAAATTACGGGGTAAATGGATATGGAAGAAACTAGCTCTGCAGAGCGAACTTGGGCCAAACAAGGAGAAAAAGAGGGGAAAAACAAAAGCACGCACCATGGCTGAGAAACGCTACTCGGGTTATCATGAAAACTCAGGCAGGGAGCAGCTCCCCAAGGCATCCGCTTGTGAGAAGTCCTACGTACAGGTCCTCAGGTTGCCCTGGGATCTTGGGATTGACAGGCCCCACTCATTCCCCAGCCAGCTGTGCTCCCACCCGATCTCCTGTATCACCTGGAGCCTGCGCTTCAGTCCTGACGCTGCTGAGACAGTAGTTGTGTGCTGTGCTATCTATGCAATATGACGGAAAAGAGCATTGAATGTTTGATTTTTTAAAATTTTATTGTTGTAGCCTCTCTTTGAATACACACTCACTCTGTCGTTCCCGTCACTCTCTGAAGCAGCTCTAGAAGACCTCTTTCTTTTTGGTACCAGGGACCGATCTCAGGACCTTGTGCTTTCGAGGCAAGGACTGGCACCACTGAGCTAAATCCCCGGCCCTGGAAGTCCTCTTTCATGTCTTTAGTTGTGCTGCCATGAAGGCCTTGATATCCTGAATTGATTCAAAATATTTTCCTTTCTTGGTCATTTTTTTTTTTTTTGGATGATACCAAAGTATTTATTGTAAATGTAGTGGCAAATATACTGAGAGTAATCGTTAAAAAGGAACTAGAAAATTACACATGTTGAAAGTATGTGCTTCTTTCCTGCCACCTTTAGGTTATGGCTAGTACCAACATTTTAGGTAA